CTTATCGATTCTCTTAGCCTTCGTCTTGTTTCTCTTGGATGTTGATTTGTCCAGTTTGTCTTTCTTTGAGATTATGATATCCCAATCTTATCAGCCTCTGAGAATCGTTCTTACGAATCTCACAAACGCCCATGGTAGGTGAGTACATCACAAGCGGGATTCTCACTCCCGGATCGTTTGTGAGCCCATGATAAGAACCATTCGTTGGTTCTTCTAACAGTACGTTAGTTTGCAATCATTGACGATCTTTTCTGATGGCCACTTGTTATTCTTTCTCTTGGTCTCGAAATGACCAGGTCTTAGATCTCTTGTATTTTCTTGTTTATTGTATGATTTTTTGGTGTCTTCATAGAATTGTTAAATAAATACGATACGTAGAATCGTTTCTTTGAAAAATTTTGCGCACAGATGATGATCGTGTTTCAGATCTTTCTTTGACTTGTTCGATAATCTTGATCCTTTCTCCTTGGCATTGTAACTCTTGATAGCTTCATCGACGCTCTCATCGATGATGGTAAACTTCTTTGTTTCTTAAGCTCAGGTAGGCTATATGGTTCGTAGATACTGTGTTTTTGGAAAATTTATAAATCTTCTGGTTCCATCGATGTGAACGCGTCTTTCTTGTAGATATCTAATAATTGTATTATAGATCAATCTCGTCAATCCCATCCATCGTTTCAGCAATTGTTTCTGCGCGTGATTAGGGTACAATTTCACCTTCAACATCCGAATCACGCTTTCGTTCATTTTTCTTTTTTGCCCTTTCTCACTGTCGTGATTCTTCCTTTCCCTTCTATGTTCGGCAGCCCTTCTTCCTTGCATTCGCATTCTACAGATGAAGACGGTGTTGAGGCAAGGATATCCTCGGACAGCTCACGTTCGTCGGTCGTAGAATCGTCGAAGAGAACCACGAGTTTTGTAGAATGGAGGGCGAAGACGTGTTTGAGAAAGTCGTACGCGAACCTACACAATCGATCTCGGTGAGTAACCACAATTTCTCCGACAAGACCTTTGCACAATCGTTCCAGTAAGGTAAGATTTCTTTTTGGAGGTGGTAACGGGATCATCAGGAAAGAATTTTGACACCTCGTATAATCATCTGGTTCCTAACGCTGATGTCTTGAATTCGATCTTTCCCTGTTTGGACAAACGACGCAATGTATGTGATGATATTCCAAGTTTTTTTGTTGCTTATGAGTGGACAGAAACTTTTTTCAATTCCTCTTTTATGTTTGTTATTTTAATTTGTTAGTTATTATTAATCAAATTACCAATGAGCATTAATGATCTCATAACTAGGGTGCGGGACACCTAAAGCCCGAAATAAAATACCCGACTTTCAAAAAACCCTAAGGCTTTTTTTATATTAGAAGTAGAATAAAAGTTACGGTTTAAAATTTTTATTAACTAAAAAAGTTTCTTAAGTTTCTTAAGAAAAAATGAAAATTTCGGATGCTCTTCGTTCTTGGAATGATTTGTGAGCTCTCCGTTTCTCGATGTGGAAGGAGATCTGCAGTGGAAAGAACATAAAGATGAATACAATGGAATGTATATGAATTCCATGACTATTACCAAAATTTTTTTAGGGGAAATAGAGTATTTAAATCTTTCATTATTATAAGGCTGCAGTTCGATGAAGTGGCGGTAATATGGTACACATACATTTTATATGATTACATACGTGTAACCTACATATCATTATTTCACTAAAGTGACAGATTATAACGACACCGACATTTTTACCGGCAAATACGTTTTGGTAGCGACGTGCTAACATTTTCGAAACGGCTCACACAGATACCAATCAATAGATAAGTAAAAACTTAATTATCTCGGTCCACGTAAAGTGTATTATTTGGTATTCAGTACGCGAACAAATTAATTATGCTCTCGACGTACCCTGAGTATGGTGTTCGATGGATTGAATAAAATAAATAATGCCACTATTTGAATTTATCTGTATTTGATAATTTACTGGTACCGTATACTACCGTGAATAAACACCCACCTCCTATAATAGCGAGGGGTGCTTATTTACGATAGGATCGTCAACTCTTATCGACATTATTAAAATAATCGGCAAATCATTACGTAAAGTATAATCCACAACAGTAATTGCAGTAATGAACTGTAATCTTAGTGGTGCTTATTCACGATCGGCGCTTTTACTTTCAGGGGGTGCTTATTCATGGTAGTATACCAAGGAGAAAAAATTGCTCCATACGCTTTTAAAGAACTGATAAGCGATAAAAATTTATTATGAATAACATAAATAATAAACAAACGTAACATATTGTGAATTCAAATAACAGCGTCTATAGAAAGCCAAAATACAACTTTACAGACATTTACTGGTTTGGACAAGTATCTTATCTCTGATAAATGCACGGTAAATTTAAAATTTTTTTGATAATTTCAAAAACACTTTGGCTGGTTGAGTATCAGGATATACACTTCAGAACATGAAACGAACGTAGTCCAATATTCACAATTCTGAGAATAAGCAACAGACACAAAAATATACGACAATTATTCGAGCAGACCAATGCGCTCACCTGCTTGAATCCCAAAATCGGTGATAGTAAAATTTTCAGCTATCAATTGTTATTTTGGTTTTCCATAGAGTACTCGTTTTGTGTTACCATAAACACGCGGATATTTTCGCGTTTCGAGCCATTACAAACGCATTGCTTTTTCATATTCGGTTGAACCGTAATAATTATCATGCACGGGGAGGGTGGTGAACATACTGAAGCTTTTCACATGTTCGAAATGCCAAGTAATTATGGCGAAGTAAGTGGGGTTTCATGTGTTTTGGGATGACTCCCCCTACAGTCACACTTAGGCCGGGCAAAACCAGTGACTCAAGGAGGTGTGACTGTATAAAGGAACGACGGCGACCGAATTTTTGATTCATTGATGGTCATGTGATCAACATGTATTACGCAATAATAATAACTTTTTTTAACGTTTTGATTCAAATTAGTTGAGACAATAGCTTGGTGTACCCACAGTTCCATGCTTTGTTTAATTTAGGGTACTTAGCAGAATGTGTGCTAGGATTTCCTTTTTTGGATAAAATTTGGGCTACAGAATTTTGTTTCGCATATTCACAAGTTTCGCGTTTATTGTCAATACTCAATTGAACTCTTTTTTTGGTTGATATAATAATTGTATAGAGTGACGGGGATCCGAGAAGCCAATGTGACTGTATAGGAGGTCGACTGTATATATATATGGTCCGGCGCAAAAAAGTTGATACTCAATATGCTTATAGTAGAAAAAAATTTTTTTGATAAATTTTTTGTCTCATTCCTCAAAACCCAATTTGTAAGTCAAGTTTTACTAGTCATCACTTTCGACCAATAATATATCATCATTTAAATTTTCATATTCTTTTTGGCCCTATCAAGCGATCTTTTCCAAAACCCAAGAATTACCTTAGACATAACCTTTTCGCAAGAAGATTAGGATGTGGACCAGTTTTAGCAGAGATCAACAACATTGTAATCGGGGGCGTTTCCACTCGCGCAAGGGTTGCCTCACCAATTACAAGGATCGAAGCAACCTCCTTGCGTAGTGGTACGTCTGGACGTTGCGTCTGGTACTGCCGAGTATTTAAAAAAGATTAGTAAACGCGAATAATCATTAGTTTTCGTTACTGGTTAAAGAACTTCGCTCTCTATGATCAAGTTTGTTACGAATATTTGAAGTTCGACATTTTCCTTACATTTTATTTGAAATGATTCGATTAGCAAATTTTGTACATGTGACGAATTTCGATAAGTCGGACACGACGGGCTGGGCATGGCTGTCCGACTTATCGAGGAATCCGACTTATCGAGAGGCCAATAGTAACACGATTTCCTTTAATGTTATAAGATGTATTCGGATAATTTACTTATTAATACTGGATGTTCTTTCTGTGTTCATGATAATTGCTTTTATTATATTAAAAATTCCTAAGGTTGAGAAATCGACCTTTTTATACAAATATTATTAATGCGTTGTTTCGCAATACCAATAATCGTAAAATCATTTATCAATGAATATCCTATGACGTGTAATATTTTTGTTTACATTACATTACAAGAATGTCTTTTCTAAATCGCAAAATGAGTACAAATTATCAAATTAAAATAGCAAAATCATCAATGATATAAACATTGTTAAGTTACAAAAGTTCTTTCCAATCATTTAGATGAAGTAGCAAAGTTAGCAATGATGTAATGACGTGTAATATTTTTGTTTACGTTACAAAAAGATCTTCTAAATCGCCAAATAAAATACTAAATGATCGGTGAGTAACATGACTTTTAAACTAAATGACTGGATAATCCGCTACTAAATTGGTAAAAATTTGTCAATCTTTAGCGAGAGTCATTTACTACTATCTGGCTGGAATGTTGTCCGACTTACAGCTTAACGAGAGTTTATATATGTTGTCCGACTATCGAGTAAATTTTAGATATATAAAAATAAAGGCTGAGTGGTTTTGTCCGACTTATCGAGTGTCCGACTCATCGGTATCAACTTTTTTGCGCCGGACTATATAAAGCAAATTTCGGCATTTTGTATACGAATTTAGATGCATTTTCATATGATTATTATTGTTTCTTGATAATGGTTGGGACAAAAGAAAAAACGTGGACCTTACCTTTAGGAAGTTTGTGTTCTTTATTGTCTACACCTACGATTGAACGATAAAGGTGTGTGTACTTGCGACAAGAAATGATTTGTTTTGAAAAAATATATATCAGCACTCATATTAATTCGATTATCTCATAAACTTTTGTGACTGTTGCGGCACATTAAAATGAATAGATGAATCAATATAACTTTTCGCTGCATTATGGGTAAAATGCCGGATAGATGATTTATTTGGTGTATTGTTCTGTTAATTATATACATAGTATCCAACAAAAAAAAAGTCCTACACATTTTTAAATTACGAACACAGCTCCACGCTTATCGATGAAATGATAGCAGAGCCGTTCATCTCACAACACAACTGTACCCTTATATAAATACATTTCTTCTCCTAATTGACAGGACCAGAAAACATATTTTCTTACAGTATACGGCTCGCGTTGTTTATTGTTCGTGGATGGTCTATGTTCTTTCGTAGATGTTACTTTACACGATGACTCTCCAAGGAATTCAACAGGTACGCCACAGGTTACTTGTCGAACAACCTTCCCTAGTCTTAATGAACCTACTTCAATAGTTTGTACTTGAAAGGATACGACCAGAATGTCGTTTACACTAGGTAGCAATATTATAGTAGATGGTGGGGATGACCATTGAATAGGACGGTATGTGTGAAATGGCTCAGCTCGAATATTGACGATGTGTGACATCCTTGAAATAGTGCAAAGAAACAATTGATTGGCCAATGGCGGTGACAAAACTTCTGCTGAAATAGACCGTGGAATAGTGACTGCTTTGTCTCTGGCGAGGTATGATTCTATATGTATTGCGTTCGCTCCAGATAGACATTTTGAAATTCGGTTGTCTTGTGGCAGGCCGGATTCCGAAAAGTTTTGATCTTCGGAAGATACAGAAACGTCAACATCAACGCGAGAATTATTCCTTGAATGACATTTCTGCTTAGACCGGAAACTCGCAGGAGATTTCGATGGGGATACAGATTCTGATGGTGACGCCAATACAGTTGACGGCGAACTTTGTGAACAGTTTGCTTCATCCAATAGAAAGTCCATATTCCATGAAATTGAATTAAACGTCAACCATTCTGGATTGTCTTCGTGGCGGGGAATTAAACGTTTCAACATTGGTGGTTCTGATACTAGACTAGTGTGCGCGTCGATTACAATAAGTCTATCCTTCCCAGTACGAAGTATTATGTTTCGAATAACCCAGATATCTGTGTGAACACTGACCCATCGTGGTTGCTCTAACGCATGTGATCAATCGTAAAATAAGAACGGTGTAATTAATCAGGTTAAGAAAATACATTGGAAAAGCTTACCAGGAACCCAAAATGTCTTTATCAATTCAAATGTAGCCTTGGAATTGTTATTTGTCGAACTTTCATGTAGTGCTATTGTATTATTCGTAAGGATACAAACTAAGTAAATATAGTTTCTGGTCTCCTTGATAACAAACGAAGCAACATTCTCATTTTGATCAAGCTTAGTGTAGTCTCGCGCATAACCATAAGCTACAGCGTATTCTTCTGTATGTAAATCCATGGTGTCGAAGACTCCGTTTATGTGACTCTGAATGTAGTCAGTCAGTTGGGATGTGATGTTCGAGAGTCGGCGTTCGTGTTGTTTTGATGAATCCGAAATAGATGGATGAGGCCCATGAGCAAGAGCTTGCTGGCGGGTCATTTTGCAAACATGCTTATCTACACCTGTCATTCCTGTATTATCCTTCATATCGTCCTCATCTCTATAACCACAATTCTCGCATTCATGAACCCCATTTCTTCGAGATAACTTTTTTGTGATTGGAGCAGTCTTTGAAAGATCAACAACACCACCGTTCTTACACGCATATATATGTTTTATTAGGTGCAATAAACTTTGCAGGTTATAAAGACGAATTTGTTGCTTTTTTCCGGCTAATGCAACTAGAATTCCTTGATCATCTAGAACGTGCAACTGTTTGAACGAACAGCCACGAATAATTTGCTTTGGTTTTATCAGGTCCCAGTTTACAGAAAAGTCTATGGTAAACAAACCATGCTCGTTTCCAAGTAGTAGGTATTGTTTTCTAAACATGGTTGCGCATAGAATTTTCTCTGCAAACCCATTGTTGGGCGTTCCCAAAAGTTTTGATTCAAATTCACCTCTGCTAACTGTTGGAGTACCGCGAATTTGCAAGTTTACTCTGGTGTTTTGACGCTGTACTGTCGTTGTCTATTAGGAGTAGGTAATAGAAATGAGCTATGGATTAGTTATTTTACATAATAGTACCCGTCACTTTACCTTTCTATCAAGATGGTTTTCTATATTGATCTCGTTACCACTAGTAAACTGTGTATTGATTACATTATTTCCTTCTTGGATCAATTTATCGATGGTACTCTTATCGATGTAGGAAGGTAGAGGAACTTCATCAGTAGACAATTCTTGCATCTTTATAGCGAAGATTGCTATTTCGAGACGAGATAAATATAATGCCAATTTCTTTGATGCAATGTAACGAGTATGCCGCCCAATAAAACAATTCGGGTTGGTGATTTGCGTTCTTTTATTGATTGGCCCAGATCAAAATAAGCTTCATTTCGATATTGTTTACAATACCTTATTGCATACTAAATCTGTGGTTAAAAAATTCGGAACAGAGGTTTTTTGTGGTTAATCTTTTGTAGTTTGACCTGGCGGTGCGGGTATTTATAAGCTATGACTAACTGAACGTTTCGGTCATTGATTAGCTGGCATAATTGTTAGCACTTTATAATAACAAGTTGCTGAATCGATTCATCATGCGATATAGCTCACACCGATTGTATGACAGTAACCATCTCAGAGTGAGTCAGAACATCCGTTACAAAGAATCGACCGTATGATAAATGCTTCTGTTGAAATATACTGCATGATCGATTATGAAGCATCATATCGTATATGATTGATAGAATTGTTGAAGAATTAATAGTTTTTATATGCTGCATCATCCGGATTACGAAGCGTCAATCGTATGACAATTTTATTATACTGCGTAATCGATATGAAGCATATCGTATGAGGGCAAGAAAATATCGATCGCAATGTAGAATGCTAGGTAGGTGGAAGAGTAGTTCAGTCATTTAGTGTAGGTGATGTTCGGTTTGGGTCGGAACAGCTACAAAGTTAGAGTATAATAGTATTTTTTTTATAATCTTACGTTCTTGTTTTTATCAATTTCAGAATTTCATTCTTCCGGCTGTAAGCAAGCATGCTTGATAAACAAATTTCAAGCTTTAAACTTGTGACTTGCAGGTATCAGCCAGCACTGCTTAGAGCATGCTTGCTTGACTTCCTGTCTATGTATATGGTTTGCCACGGGATTTAAGATTGCTAGAACTTGTTTGAAAGTTTAAAAAAGACCGTAAACGTTTACGTGAAGACACATGTCTATTGCGTAAAAACGAGATAACTTCGTTTTCTTCTAATAAAAGCAGCTACTGTTGTCAGACTTGCGCTTCTTTCATCTCACAGGATTCTAATTAATATCGTATAATTGTACGGGAGACTAATGTAAAAGAAGGCTTGAGCGCGCTTACCTAACGAGCGAGCCGGCCATCAACTGAACTTATAAAATTGAAAAATATTCCTTATAACCAAAGTCTCTTCTATAGCAAAGCAAAAATTATAATATACAATTTAAGGATAAGTTAATGGGTATCGCTTACTGCAAGGCAAGAGAAGGGAAGCTTTTTTTCTCGACGTAAAGAGGAAAGTGTATTCTTGATAACAATTATACAAATGAGCTGTACATCGATAATGGGAACCCAGCAAAGACTTTCGCATAAGAGATACGAGTCTTTAAAAGTTCTCACCCAAGACAAGAAATGGAATGTAGAAAGGTAACAGGAAAGCAAATTCCGCGTTGCGTTATGCTTTTGGCTACACACCAAACGCCTGTTTTGCTAGAGAAGTCCGGGCGCCCAGAAGAAACTATGCCACTCCGATGTTTATCAGTGTAAGCTTTTCTTCTTTTAACGTATACTCATACAAAGGTTATCTATTCATGTATTCGAGCAATTGTATTCTATCTCTTCGATTCTTTTCATATTGCTTTCTTGCTTCTTTCGCACTCAGCCTCTTTACCGGATTCTTGTAAAGAGATGTAAATCACATTTTTTAGGACATAATCTCAAAAAAATTAGTCTTTTGAATTCACGATTACCTTTGATTCTTCGTTTTCTAGTTTTTGGCGTTTCATTCCAATACCCAATTTGTCGTTCTTTATACGTATTGAAATCGGATGCCTTTTCCCCTGTTCTTCAATACCAAGACCTTTTTCATACGTCCAGCCTTGATCCCGAAGCATACGAAAGCCAAGATTATTCTAAACAAGGGAAACCGGAAGCATGAATTTATTTGTAAGCTCATAACATCAAACACTTCTCTCACCTCATTTAATACTATAGGGTCAGGTAGAGGAGTTTCGTGCTTTGTGCTTATTAGGTGAGCCGTTCCGTGAATATGTTTTTCAAGCAGTTCAATATCAACCCATAATTCACAATCTGAGCACCAAGCTTTATTTACAGGAGGTTCCTGTTTCCTATTTACATTATTCGGATTTCTACCACGATTTTTCATCTTATCTTGCTGAGAAGAACGGGATATGACGTGTCTATAAAACTCACTTGCATGATCGCCGCTTTTCTTGTCAGAAGTATTACTAGTCAACTCCACTAATTCAAGTGACTTCGAACGGACAAAAGTGATGGGTTTTATCGGGTTCGACATGACTGTGAGTTCATGAAATTATTGCTCGACTTTTTGATTTGATGGTCACATGATTATGTTGCTTGGCCAAGACTTCTCAGCCTGGAAAATAATTTATTCGAATGATAATAGAATTTCTAAAGTCAGTTGATGGTATCACGGCTCAAAATATACCGTTCAATCATCAGATTTTTGTTTTATCGGCCAATAAATATTAATATTATAATTTTACATCATAGCCCGATAACTAGTGATTAACTCAAAAATACAATTCATCTTCGTTCCAATTTAACAAAGAATAGATTACAATCATGTTATGTTAAAAACACGTTTACAAACTCCACAACCGTGTTGATAAATAACGAATATGGTCAACATATACACAATATTGAGTCACCACGAACAGATAAGTTATAACTTTCAATCAGACATTCACCACCGTTAGTCTTCTCTTAGGTATAGTCATCACGACAACTTCGCGATTAGCCATCTCCTCTTCCATTTGCGCCTGTGCCTCCTCATCTAGTTCCTCTTCATCTCGCATATGTCTTAGTTGAGTATTATTATTCACCCATGAATCAACTAGCTCGTGGTCATTATTATACTCTTCCTCGTTGTCATCAAATTCACCATTACCGTGACAATACTTGCCAAGGAAGGCGACCAACAACGATCTTCTCCCACGAGGATATCCCCTCCAAGCTGCTGCTATCCAGATGACATATATAACACCCATGTATATTATAAACAGTGCAACCCAAAACTTTTTAACAGAATTTTCGTTAGAAAGCGAGAATGCGACGTATATTGCTCCTAAAAGCAAAATCAACTGCGAGAAAATGTGGTGAGCATGTCTTGTACGCAATACAAAAGAATTCGGATGAGCAGTCGAAGCGGCAGCCGAGCCATGATATCGCATGCCATTGTTGAGACTATCACGAGAAGAGCCATCGTTTTGTACAGTAGGAGTATCAGAAATTGAGACACTCTTACGCTTATCGAACCAATTGTCATCGTCTCGTGAGTAAGTGTTTGTGTTCCTGCCGTTACTTTCACGTCTATCGACTTGGAAAGATTTTTCCGTCGCCTTTGTATAGTCTGTTGAATCGCTAAATCGGAATAATGCTGCCATCCTTGGAATAAATCCTTCAGTCTTGGCCTTAGCTCTCGTATCTTCAATATGAGTAGCCGACGAATTTGATTCATATTTCCGTCGAATACCCCATGATATTATGCTCGCTAATGGAACTATTGCATACAGTAGTATGAGAATAATAATATCTAAAATCCTATGCGTGGTGGAATACTCTTCCGTTTTCGACCTTACAAAACCCAAGAAGGCAGTAACATACGAAGAAATAATGGTAAATCCATATAAAATAGCTGCCAGACCGCCCATACTTGCCATACCAAACCTCAATATTGATATAGCTAATGGCAGCAATACGAAACTTATTGTCGAAAGTATGACGCCTGTGCTGGTGGTTGATCCATTATTTCCGTCGGACCCGGAAGAAGTGTTATCTGTACCAGTACCATCACCAACGTCACATTGTAAAAATTTCGTGCCACCAGAACTATCCCGTTTGATGGGAGTGTTGGATAGACGCAACAGCCAGACGTCTGAAAGCATGTCTCCTGACCCATCTAGCGCTTCTCCACCAAAAAGGAAGACATCGGTACCGTCCGGTATGCCGTCACCCTTGTAAACTGCCTTCGGTAATGCGAGCATTTGTGCCCCCGCACGAAGGGAAGGATATTGTTTAGCAGACTTTGGATCAGGTTTGGGCAGCACTCTTACCCAAGTTCCCTAAAACGTAAACAAACATTAGCGGTGATTCATGCATAATATGTCGAAATCAACAAAACGGTTTGGAAAACGTGAAAGTTATGATATACAGCTGCTTGTCGCTGCTATGTATAGACATATCGTTGATATTTGTATTTACGTTTTTATATATTATTCAGATCATTGCTTACCGCCGAGACGTCTAACACATTAACTTCGCCTTGTTCCCCATTACCCGACTGGCTTGTTCCTTCGCCACCGAATAAAATGACTTGATTCTCAAAGGCTGGATTGGCTCTATTGTAATTCATCGTCATAGCGGCACCCTTTCGCGGTCCAGGACACTGGTTGGCGTTGAGCCACGAGGGTTGAGCAGACGTTGGCGTAGGATCTTTGTAGTTCTGAATAGACTCCACATAAGCATCACGTGTAGCACAATTAGGTGTCAGTGTGTTACAGCCTCCAAACATCGCAATGCGCCCCCCCGATAGGACTGTACCAGCAGCATCAAGTTTGGCTGAAAGATAAAGTAAAAATTCTCGTCAGTTGTAAAAGGTGGGGACGTAATCATCTCTCATTAAATGATTGACTTACCTGAAGGAATATTTCCTGACGTAGTTAGTTTATACCATGATGCAGTCAGTTGATTAACATTGGGCGACGAAACACCATCCAAAACTAATCTCCAGGTGTCTTGATACTTATTGGTGCCGTCAGTGCCAAGAGTGACCCACATGCTGTTATTCGTTGAGATTCCTCCTTGCGCTTCCAAGTCGGTTCCACCGACAGCATCATACATACTGGGTACGGGACCATTAGGTGTTTGTACATTCGTTATCTGCCGCCAACTTTCGTAGTTCATATCGAACGCCCACGTATCGTTGAAAGGTTGTCCATCGTTTCCGAGTCCTGTTGTTATCACGAGTTGTTGACGATAACTAGAGTATACATCTATTCCGTAGACCATGTTGGATCTTGCTCCTGGTGTAGTGGTATTTGCAGTTGATGGAGGATTTGGAGGTACCCAAGACATCTGATTGAAATCAAGAAGATAAGTTGCTCCAGATTTAGCCCCTCCTTGAGTACTATATATAAGAGTCAATTTAGATTAATACAATTGAATATGAAAATAAAGACCCTCAATATTATCTTATCTAGCAGCAACTGCACTACAAACGTCGTCGTGAAGGCTAGTTATATATGTTTTGTTATAGATGTTATCCTCTCATCCCAGCCGTCTAACCGGTATCGAACCATATATTCTAAAGATATGTAAACTCAACGAAGAATTCTCATCCCACATATCAAATTATCATTCGTGACTTTGTTGTTTGTAATTATCATTTCGTCAATGCTCCTGTGGTCATCAACACACTTTCTCTATTCGTAACGTCTAAGCGATCAATAAACAAAACATTCGAGTCTACGAAACTTACGTTCCCCCAAAAATAACTAACTTGTTATTTGAGTTTATATAGCCAACAGCATAGTCCCGAAGTCCATTTGGTGGAGTTCCAACGAGGTTGAGTTCTATCCACTGCATATCAGGTATTGTCATAGAAGGATTAGAGTCTGTTTGTTGTGACTGAGCTTGCACATTATGGGATAAAAGACCAAGTATTATTAGGAGTATGAAGAGTAAGTTAATGTAGCGTCTTTTGGTAATACGCATTTGTCGTATTCCCGTTCTTCGCTTCGCTCTTAGTGACATTACAATGATTTCTGTGTTAATAAAAAGAAATGTTAATAATTAAAACTAAGAGTAAACGCAACAGCGTAGCGTAAAGACAAGAGGTGTACGACATTTACTTGAGATGCTAACTGAACTCTAATTACCCTAATTAGCGATATTTTTAAATATATGTAATTCTATTTGTTTTTTGTCCTTGCTTCTCTAGTGATGTATATAAGCCAGTAAGGTGTAGAATATAATGGTGCTCTTCTTGTTACTATTCGTTAATATCACAACCTTTCAAAGGTAATAGCTACAGCACTAATTAGTTTGATGAGCATTATATTAGAAGGCAGTTGAAACCGTGGGTCTCCGGATTTGCTAGAACAGTATTGTGAGTAGTACACCAGAAATCCATGTTTTGATTTGTGACAGGTACGTATTAATCATGATTAATAATAATTAATCTCTCTGTCATATGGTAATTTATTTGTATGAACTATACATAGGGTATGCTTGCATATATGGAATATACTGCAACAAAGCTTGTGGTGTTGATAGAAGAACCCAGACTACTGTGAATATAAACATCGTGAACGAGCACCCTTATAATTAAAATTATCGATCGTAATCACCCGCATGACATACCCCCCACCCACACTTCATTACGTAAGTATACAATAAAAAAATAAAAAACGTAACTATCATTTCTGCACCAGCACAATCATTTTGCTGGCTTCTTACTACATAGCGACGATAAGTCGGACTCATTGGGGCGGAGATTTTGTCCGACTTATCGAATTTCATAGTACTTTATCTTTTATTAAATAGGCAATAGAAGAATATGAAATCAATATTTAAACGACAACAAAGGTATTATGCACAATCCATTTTTCCAACGTGAGCTGCTTTAGAGGAGCATTTTGCTTTGAGATTACTGATACACGTCATGATTTTGCTGCAAATAGTCGAATATATTATGAACGCTATTCAAGGCAGATATATCGAACACTGTGTTGCAGCAATTAAACGGTAAAGATTATCGCTCGACAATCACGTGGTCCGACTTATCGAGTCATTTGTTATAACCTAGTACTATTATAACCTGAGTAAGGGTTTATCGCGATGTTATATGCATCTGACTTGTCGAATTTTTTAAATATTAATATTGAAAAAAATGGGGGGCGGAAACTTATCGAGTGACTATGTATTACATAAACAGAATACTTTCTTATTTCTCGGACTATATACACAGTCAGACTCGATAAGTCGTAACTCGGCCAAAATCTTTTCTACATTCTTTTCGATAAGTCAATCTATGTAAATTCTCGATAAGATAAGTCGTTCTCACGTGATAATCATATAACGATAACGTAACTGGCCGATCGAAAATTTAATTATAGTACAGTCATACCTCTTTTAAATCACCCTTTAATATCCCAACCTCGGATATATCCCACCTGTGAAGCGGGACAGATATCCTCTATTGTATTTCTATATAAATTTACCTCATTAGTGTCCCCTTCAGATATATCCCTATCCCCGATATTTTGCTGTCCCAAATTCTCGTATCATATGATAATATATTATTATCATACCTCTATTTAAGAACCCCCATAGTGATTTTTTGAAAAAAATGTTCTTATGAAGAGATGTTCTTTTATAGAGGTTTTGTTTTATAAGTTTAATAATAATTGGGTCTTTGATGCAATGTTTTTGTGAAGAGGTTTTTATATGACGTTCTTCGATTTTATAGGATCTTTATATATGACGTTCTTCTATAGAGGGTTCTTTTATGGAGGTGCGACTGTATTACCATTTACTGTTGCACAAATATATCTATTATGAGAGTGTTACACAAACTGTCATGTTATTTCTATTTTTACAAACTTTTCCCGTTGTTAAAATAATTAGCAAAAAATATCAAATCGTGCTAAAAGCGATCAGGTCATCTGAAGGCGTTCTGCAGCAACACGTTGAAGAAGACTCAAGCGACGAGGAGGAAACGATAATTTTAATGTGGACGGGAAGACAGGCACTTTATGTACAAAAGTATTGACGATTTATGTTGATCAAATAGTAAAACATATGAAAAATACATGTGGTTAAAAGTTTTTTAGGACAAAGAGATTTTACAACAGAAAATGATGTAAAGTATATACGTAATATAATTCGACGTTTATATGAGTCTGTAGAAAAGGCTAAACGTCAAACTTCATTAACCGAATTTATTGACCAATAATAATAATATTGCATGCTTTAAATGGACACCTCATTTATATCCCACCTCTTTTATATCCCCAAAAACTCCTCGTCACAAAGTGGGGATATAAACGAGGTATGACTGTAATAGTATAAGTAATAACAGATCTTACTTATTTAGAACCAATAGTGCGTTAAACAAAAGAATCAAATAAACCATACGATTAAAGCAGTAAACATGTCACTAGAAGTGTTTCGAATCATACGATTAATGCAATAGAAATCATTAGATCATAATATTGAATAGTTTAATATTAAGTGTAAATGGTTCTGTATTATCAGGGATAAAAGACTGTTAACAAAAATTTAAATAGTACTCAACGAAAACAAGTCGATTCTCTAAAACAAGCTAGTCTGCAGTGATTATTATTATCTATAAATATATATTAATATTAATATATATGATTTCTGCACGGTGGACGGACATTGCATATTCCTGTTACATAATTACCCAATAGTTGACCATCACATGTTCATCATTTTTTGTTGCGAACAATGTTATTATTATTATTATAGACAACGTTAGCGAAACTCAATTGAGCGAAGACGTATATTGAAAAGAGAGTCTAATGCGCGAACAAAATCTAATACTAACCGAACTTCAGAGTAAAATAAACGGCATAAAAGGCAAAAATGAGAATCAAAGGCTCGAGAATCTGCATATAACTCAACTTTAGCTTTTACTTATATGGGAGCTAAAATTGATAATTAGATAATTGGTGCAAGAAGTCCTTATACTTTCCGTATACATGGTGAAGCGTATCATAGATAACATAATTATGTTATTTAGGTTATGACCACTCAGGTATGTGGCCAATATTATAATTCTGGCCACATTCAAAGGTGGCGTATTTCATAAATCTAGCCACATGGGAGAATGATCGATTACCATATTGTTATGTGGCTGATTTATAAAGTTGTCCACATAGTAAGTATATGCTAGCTAAATGCTGGTATAATCTATTTTTTTGGCCACATTTGTCGTCAGGTTACATGTGGTATGAAGTATATTAATATCAATTAGTGTCTGTGATTTAATTCCTGATTTATTATCGCGAGTTTAATTGATCGAATGCACTTTATGCGCCATTTAATATCGACCAATTTCCACTGCAATAAAATAGCTGAGATAGGTTATGACAATCTAGCCAGCCTTCTTTGTGTTCTTTTTAGTATGTCGAATTCGATAAAATTTATTGTGTGCTAAATAGATATCAGAAGTGGTAAAAAATTAATCGCGCAAATGCTATATCCAGCCATGCTATATACGTACATGTTGTTATTGCGAGTTTGACGACCCGATTGCGATTATGTCGTCATTCTGGAGGCAAATGGTCAGAGTATGCTATCTAGTTTGTTATATACACGTTCAGGTCATGTTATCAATTTACTTTGCCATAGTTAACTCTGGGAAATTCGTCCTAGTTGCGATGTATATTTCACAATGTTATTGGAAATGTTACCAATCGACTTCGCCATATGTTGAAGACACGTTATATTAAAGTATGTCGATTTTGTTTGTGAAATTTTTTGACACTAGTTAGCATTAGAAATATGTCCCGAAAACATACCATCAACTGGGCATATAACTTCTATATAATATTACTGAACTTATACATTAAAGTGGGGGACAAAAACTTCGGTAATTAATTACAATAACTTTACAACCAACAATTGAATCGAGACTCAAAATACCTTGTTTAAAAACTGCAAAACATACAGATTTTATTTACAAAATTAAAAAAAAAAAAAGTTCAATAATCGCCTCGCAACGTCTCTTCATTGAGTTTACTAAATTTTTTACAATTATATCCGGAATACCATCCCACTCTTCTACCACAAAACGCTATAATTTGCTAAGATTTGTGGTCTTTGCCTTTCAACATTTGTTTTAACTATGCTTCATAAATTTTCTATTGGATTTATGTCAGAACTATTCAATGGTCAGTTGATAACTATGGGCATATTTTCCTGAAGAAATTGTTTAGCGATAGAATTTGTATGCTATCCTGTTGGAAGCTCCAACCATTTGTCGTATTTAGGTGCCTCTGAAAAATTTTGACGTAGTAGTAGATTGGCCCTGTCATTATGTTTTTAAAGCAATAAAGACTTGTTTTGCCCTTCGCGCAAAATTCACACTAAGCAAAAACTTTGGCCTGATTTTTTTGGGATAGGACGGCTTTTATACCACTGTGTTATGGTATTCCAAAATAGCTGAAATGCAGTTTATCCATAAAAAGGGGTTTCTGCCCATTCAATTCGTCTTCTTTTATGGTTATCAGTAAGCATTGGGGTAGCTAAAAGCACACTATTTGTATAATCCAGGCCCCCCAAATGTCTTGAAATTGTTTTATATGATAGCTCAAGACCTAATTTAGTCACCATCTTTCGAGATGAGGTGGTCAGATCTCGCATCAAATATTGACGGAGGGTCTTAGATGCACTGGCTGTGATTTTTTTTAGGATGGCTGCTTCCTAAATACCACCAGTATTTTTTATTATTTTTAATATTGTCCTAATTGAGATGTCGGTTTTTTTATGAATTTCTAGAGGAGATCGCATCCTTTGATTCCAGAAATGTAAACAACTTGAGGCGTTGATTTTTCATCTTGTGCGAGCATTTG